TCTACACCTTGTTATCTCTGACCAATTTAGTTGTTTATTTTTTGTAAAGCTGACTAAATATATTGATGAGGTTAGTGCTGTTAATGTGGTTACATGGATTTCAGTAAGGCCTTTGATAAGTTCCCACATGTAAGGCTGGTCCAAATAGTAAGAACCCATGGGATCCAATGCAAGTTGACAAACTGGATCCAAAATTGGCTTCCAAATAGCAGGCAAAGGATGATGGTGGAGAGGGTTCTTTTTGTAATTGGCTCAGCGCTGGGACTCTTGCTGTTTGTCGCATACATTAATGACTTGAATGTGAATGTCCATTTAAAATGAGGAGATGGCATGAAAATTGGTGGTGTTGATAGCGAGAATGATAGTCTTAGGTACAGTCTGATATTGATCAGCTGGAAAAATGGCCAGAACAATGGCAGATAAAATTTAATCCTGATAAGTCCAGGGTGATGCATTTTGGGAAGTCTAATAAGAAAAGGATGTATGCAATGAATTGTAGGTCCCTAGAGAGTACTGAAGAACAAAGCAACGTTGGTGTACAAGTCCATAGATTCCTGAAGGGGTCAGCACTGGTTGACAGGGTGGTAAAGAAGGCATACTGGATGCTTAACGTCATGAGCTGGGCATAGAATGTAGGAAGCATTGTTACAACTTTGTAAACTATTAGTAAGGCCACCAATACTAGGTATAGTTCTAGCCACCACACTATTGGAAGGATGAGGTTGTACTGGAGAGGAGATTCAACAGGATGTTGTCTGGATAAAATATCTCACTTATGAGGAGAGACTAGATAGGCTGGTTTTCCTTAGAGCAGATGAGGCTGAGGGTCTGACTGAAATATTCAATATCAAGAGAGGTACAGACATACTAGGTCGTGAGAAGCTTTTCCCCATAGCAAACATGTCTAAGACCAGAAGGCATACATTTAAGGTGAGAAGTAAGTGATTTGGAGGAGATCTGAGAAAAAAAATATGGAACATGCTAAATGAGATGGTGCTGGAGGCAAATACTGTCACAACGTTTAAGCACTTGAAAGTCTGGGGCGCAGTAGATTATGGACCAAGTGCAGGTAAATGCAATTAGTATAGGTTGGTGTTTGTTGGTTGGCAGAGACATGGTGAGTCAAAGAGTCTGTTTCTGTACTGTATGACTTTATGACTCTGTAATAACTTTGTAATGAAAGGCTCAAACTAATGTCAACAGACAGATTGAAATAGAAAACACTTTTATTTTAACTCGTGATATTTTTGCTCAAAGATTAAAAGACCAAGAGTTTTAAATGCCTTGACAACATTGGCGGTACTAGGGCTCATTGATAGCTTTGACAGTTTGATGTCCCAATATTCCTTTGTTCTTTTATTCCCAAACATGCTCAGTTTGAGCAATCTGAAAGGTCACTTGGCCTCTCCCAATAGAGTTCTCTATCTCTCCCAAAGTGTCACCTACCTCTACAAAAATGCAGCTTACTACCCCCAAAGGTGCCTTGGGATCAATTCAAAGGAATACCTTACCTTTGAAAAGGTTATCCTGACCATCAAAATTAATCCACAAGGAGGAAGGGTCACCTGAAACATTAACTCTGATTTTTTCTTCACAGATGCTGCCAGACCTGTTAAGATTTTGCAGCAGCTTCTGGTTTTGTTCCTGATTTACAACATTCGCAGTTCCTTTGGTTTTTATTTAATCCACGAGGTTCTGGTCTGCTCTTACCTACTTTCCTTACATACTTTGGGTTTTAGCCATTTAGTTCAACAAAATCACACAGAAGTGGAGGCAGCTGATAATTTTAAGTGTCAGAAATGCGAAGGGTGTGGTAGTTTCGAACAAACTGTGAAATAGCTCACGATGGAGCCAAACCATGGAGAAATTTCAAAGCATGAACTAGAACTGTAAAGTTGTATCACTGGCAAACAGGGAACAATTGAGTATCAGAGTTGGGAGGCCATGTTGCGCTGTACAGGACATAGGTCAGGCATCTTTTGGAATACTGCATTCAATTCTGGTCTCCCTGCTATAGGAAAGATGTTGTTAAACTTGAAAAAGTGCAAAAAAGATTTACAAGGATGTTGCCAGGTTTGGAGGTTTTGAGTTATAGAAAGAGGTTTAATAGGCTGGGGCTATTTTCCCTGGAGCATCAGAGGCTGAAATGTGACCATATAGAGGGGATTATAAAGTAATGAAGGGCCTGGATAGGGTGAACAGCCAAGGTCTTATTCCTAGGGAAGGGGAGTCCAAAACTAGGGGACACAGGTTTAAGGTGAGAGAGGAAAGATTTGAAAGGGACCTAAGGGGCAACTTCTTCAGGCAGAAGGTGGTACATGTATAGAATGAGCTATCAGAGGTAGTGGTGGAGGCTAGTACAATTACAACATTTAAAAGGCATCTGGATGAGTATATGAAAATGAAGGGTTTGAGAGGATTTGGGCAAATTGCTGGAAAATGGGACTAGATTAATTTAGGATATCTGGTTGTCATGGATGAGTTAGACATAGGGTATGTTTCCATGCCATACAACTCTACGAGTCTGTCACTATGGAGATTACACTGGGCAGGATTGAAGGAGGTACTGGATCTTTTGTAGGTACGTTTTAAGTTTAATTGAGTCAAGGTTTGAGGCAGTCTGTTTTGAACAATATTTGAAATAGTAATCCTTTAGCTGATTAGATTATGATGTAGAGTAAAAATGAAAGGAGTTTTTTTGTCACTGTGTTTTCAGGTCTGCAGTTTGATGTAATATTTGGGTGTACTAAATTGCAGTGCTAAGAAATGGTAATATTATCAATGTTTCCAATTTCTGATCAACTTCCTTGATGCCCCCCCATACCCCATCCATTTTTCTATCTGCCTTCCCAGAGGGGAAAAGATACTAAAAACAACAGTAACGCTGAGAAATGAATTTAATTGTTGCACTGGAGAATCGTTTTGAAATATACAAAATAGGTCAGATCAGTATATGTCATTCTCCAGTTTAATATTTTATTTTCCTTTTAGGTCCCAAAATCCAACATCCCTTCCACCCCACTCATCCCCTCTACAGTCTGCCTGATCTTTCCCACATTAAAAGCCTGAGGCACTTACTTCATTCTGGGATCCATCAAAGTTTCATGTGGGGCCAACTTGCATTCCCAGCACTGCCATCTTGCATTCCCAGCACTATCATCTTACATTCCCAGCACTATCATCTTGCA